TATGAACGAATTCCTTCCACCATGTGGGTCGGTCGGTAGCCGGTCGGTTCGATGTGGGTGCTTTTTTCACTCACTCAAATCGCCCGCCGTGTTGGTCGGTGGTTCAAGCCCCAGGCTGAACGATCGATTTTCACTTGCTATCGTCCAACCCGTGTTAGGAATCACACGTTAAAAAGTAAGACCTCGTTAGTCCTTTGCTAGTACAAGTTTCGACTTCTTAGGGTTTAGTACGTAAGGGTGCGACAGCTGGTTAACGAAAAAAACAGATTTTTTAACAGATTTGAACCAATGTATTAGGTTGTTTCAAAAGTTTAGTCTGTTTTTATGAGTCTACCTGAAAATGTACTATTTCGGTAAATACTTTTTCAATGTATTCGATAGGCGCCATTTGAATTAGTGAACTTTTGTCAAAGTAACACAAATCAAATAATTCCGTCAGCATAAAAATTGTATGCCCGGAATTCAATGAAGTCGACGAAGGCCGTTTTTGCCTGGTCATGATTGGCCATGTTCTACTGGTGATGAAATTACCGAACATGTTAGTCGATTGGCGAGAGGTATGGGAAGTATGGTGGGTGAGGCAGAACTGCGACGCTCAATTCTCAGTGCCGGCTATTGCTGACGTAATTTTCAGTGAATTTTGTTGCTTTTCAAACAATAGGAAACTGCTGTGATGGTTTGGCTCGGTAGCAGTTGTAGTTACACCAGCCGCGGCTCCACCATACATTAACCATGGTCCTTGGGGGGTTTTCGACTTTGGAAAGTGCTTGGATGGCTCATCGGTGTCCAACCACTGTCTTAAAAGTCTCCTGTTGTAGAGGATCCACTTTTCATCACACGTGACGATCCGATGCAAAAAAAAGAAGAACGGACCTGGAAACGTGACAATTTCCGTCAATCGTTCAAATCGTGAGGCACCTAATCTTTGAGCGTTTTGACCTTTCCAATACCTTTAAAACTATCAAAAATCGCATGGTAGCTGACGCTCAGTTCTTTCGTAATCCAATGTACTGATTGTGATAGGTCAGTCTATACCAGGTTCTTCAAATACTCGTCCTGGATTACTGTAGGTCGACCACATCGGGGCTCATCTTCAAAGCTGAAATCTCTGAAACAACGTCGAACAGTGGGTTCAATAATAATATAATTGCCATTGTTCGGGCTGTTCGGCGCTTTGGTTCGATTTGAATTCGTCGAGAAAAATTTACCAAAAATCGTTTATCGACAGTAATACAGCTGAAAAGAGGCAATAAATTGAAATTTGGAAATTAATGGCATAATTGAGGCAAATATAATTTCTCAATATGATGTGAACATTGTTGAACATAATTCTTACATATATACAAATCTGTGAATTTTAAAGATAAGGGTGCTCCAATTTAGGCAACTTACAAAAAAATGGCTGAAAAATTTTGGGTTTATTTCATATATTTCGGAAACAAAATAAGCAAGAGTTGTTTCTTCGATATCAGTGCTCTCTATCTCTTACAGTTCACAAGATCATCACGTATAAATTTGAATTTGAACACCCTTGTATATAAGCATCGATTCTCTTCAAGAGTGAAAATATCGATGTTTGGCAAAGAAGCTTTATTAAAAGTTGATAATATTGCTTGAGGTTCACTCATTCATTTTTTCATGAGAACCAGCCAGAAATGTCTTTTGAATCGTAAATAATAACGAAACGAATAACACATACTGAAGACGCTGAAGAAAATCGTGTAACGATTAATTTTTTTTTCAGGATGTTTATTCAGTGAGAAACTCTGCTTAGAACAGGAATGGTGCTACGATGGTGAGTTTATCACTGATTTTTATTCCTTTCAAAATTTATGGTGGTAATAGATCTTAATGAAATCGAACAAAGCAATTCACTTGAAATAAATGTCCTCATACCAAGTAAACAACAATATTACGACTCTCGTGTTGTCTCTCTGTTCTTGGACCCCTGTTGTTTATCATCTACATTAATGACCTATGTTTTCACATGAGGACGAAATGTCAAATTGTCCTATTTGCGGATGATACCTCTTTCATCAGTTCAAACAGCAACATTTCACGTCTTCTTGATAATGCTGAAACCTTGATGACTAAAGCGGAAGCTTGGTTCTCTGCCAATAACCTTCGACTGAATAAAGGGAAGACACAAAACCTCATAATTTCCTGTAATAATCAGATCACGTTAGGTAAGCATTGTAAATTGCTTGGGGTTGTTTTAGATGATCGTTTGAACTGGACTCCTCATATAGATATATTGAGTAAGAGACTATCCAGTCTCTTATTTTTGCTTAGACAGCTCAGGTACTGCCTCAATNACTATCACTCAAACAATTTGAATAGGGAAAGTAGTAAAAAAATATAGAATTTTCTTTTTATAGCATTTTTATTAAATATTTTTTTTATCAATTCAATTAATTCTTTTTAGTCGTACTGTAAACTTGCAAAACTCCCTTATGCCAATTTTGAATCGAATCAAACCACAATTACAAATATCGCCTGCCATCTTGTTTTTTGCATCGACAAAATGATCATAATTTCTTACCATGAAAATCCATCCCCACATACTTATTTTGATTCGAATCGTACCGTACCCTGAAAACCACCACTTTTCTATTTTGGAACAAATCGGACCATAATTGCAAATCTTGTTCGACATTGTTTTTTGCCTTAAAAAACTTCTTTAATGCATTGTCACCATATTAATGTCAAATTAGCTTGTAAATGAAATATCATAATTTGGAACACGGAACAGTTTTTTTCCTGCAAGAGGGCGCCAAAATAGAAAGTTAGGTAGTGAAAATCGACATGATCCAATTCCTTATGAAATTGCCTTTTTAATGATGAGTCACACTTACTACTTTCCCTATTCAAATTGTTTGAGTGATAATGACCAAGGGGTGGGGGGAGAGTTATGACAGTAGAGGTTATGATAGAAAGATGTCTCCCTTGGATTACAAATCGACGTGTCTTTGCATTTTTTTGAGAAAATATGTGTTTTGAAGATATTCGATCTGTTTCGTTTTCCGTGCCCACCCTGTATAATATAAATATGTGCTTCACAGACTGAATATTGAATATTCCGATTTCAGAAAGAGAAACAAGTTTTATTTGTGTTTATTATTGACTCAATTCTTTTTCAAAAACTACGGAACAAACTTCGGACCAATGAAAATTGTAAGCTTTATAGGACATTAACCTACTTTGGTGAACTCATTGATATTGAAAGAAAAATGATAATTCAGTGACGGATACATCGGGCGTTGAATGGTCGTTCTTATTACATACAAGAGTAAATGTACACAGAAATGGTTTTCAAAAAACACTTTACTGTGAGATTTTCACTGGACAGTTTTACAAAAACGCAACACTTGCTTCGCCATACATTGACATCTTCATGCGTGTATTTACTGTAGTGTAGAGTTAAGACACGCCTGAAGAAGCCAATCTACGCCGAAACACGTGTTGCGTTTTTGTAAAACTGTTTAGTGAAAATCTCCCAATAAAGTGTTTCTTGAATGCGTAATGGATTTTCATCAAGTACTGGCCGATTCCAGCACATATAGAAATGGTTTTTATTGAAGAGGCCAATTCAAAAATTTCAAACAATTTTTGGCAGAGGAGCATGATTACGGGATATTACATTTGGAAAAGAAAGGTTTAATTTTTGAATGCTTAGAAACTAACAAACTTGAGAATATTGAACGATTGTTCAATGACCAAATATATAGACTTGGATAGTTCTCATTTCTTTCTGTTTGCTCATGATGAATAAAAAAACTTTTTTCTGTTCACTTTTTACTTCGAACATTCGTTATGAAATTGATTATGATATCATTGACAGGATTGCTACACAATATCGTATATGAAAGAGGTACATGGCACACTGTCATCCTCAATTGCGGACATCGATGTTTCGGAATAAGACACTTGCTCTCAGCACCAATCTGGATAACATAACAAAATGAAACACTCAATCCATTCATTAAATTACCACCTTATGTAACGATTGAGTTAAATCCACTCATGTCACGTTATGTACGTTATGATAGTACAGTACGTTATGACATTCATTCGCTTTCAGATCTTCATTGAAATATGTAACTACTTGGTGAACAGTGCAGTTGCATTTGATGTTCCGGCTTCCAGGAGAGAAGAAGGCGTGTCCTGGAAAAGATAGGGAAAAATCACAATGAGCACACGAGGATGCCGTATTTTACAGAGAAAAACTGTAGGGAAGAAATAGGTGTGACATTTGTGCTGTCATTACAAAATCCATATATTGGATTTCTGAATTTTCCAATATATCTTTTCGAAACTGAATGATATGTATATGTGAAAGCTATTTTTCGGTTTTTTGGGCCATGGTCTGGAGGTCTTTGTAATTGACGTTTCGTCTACTACTGCGGTATACAATGTCAAATGCGAAGTGATAATGATCGCAGTGCCCGAGTTGGTGACCGAGTTGTTGTTCGTTCCAAACGCGGTAACTACGGCGATATGATAGTTCCGAGTCAATAGTTTCGATGATAGTTTCGAGTCAATCAACATAGACGGCACCCTCTATGTTGACAATTCTACTTGTGAGGTGGTTCCCGAACCATTATCAAAAGGAATATGTTATTTTTATAATTAGTATTTTTAGGAATTTTGAATTATATTAGGAAATGTTACTAACAAATATGATGAATCTGTTGGATAAATGTATTTCACCGTCATTTCTGGACAAGTGGAGTTTGCCCGCCATGTTGCACATGTTAGGTTATATTTTCTAATAACCAGTCCGTGCAAAGCTTATTGTTAAATCATCTGAAAATGGAAATGTTAACAGGTGATGGTCGACTGTATTGTCAAACATGCGCCAAACTAACTGATTGTAATAAGAAAACAAGTATAGCTGACACACCAATCAGTCTAATAATAACACTAATGATCTTCAAACATGACTCAACCTCTGTCGGAAACACAGAACTCTAACGGATGTTCGAAATCTGTTTTACAACTTGGAACGGGAAGACTTACACGAACTCAGTTCTGAACTTAGCAGACTTTTCGCTCTGGGATATCGATGGAGTCATGGATACACCCAGTGCAGACTACAGGCCATGCTTTATGCATTCAAGCACGAGTAAGTATAATAATAATTCAAATAATATATGAGTTTCAATTCAAAGTTCAACAAAGTATCCTTTCAATTCCGTTTAGAGAAGAATGAAAGAATGTATCTTCTCAATCAAATTTCCATGTTATTTTAGATGAAGCATTTATTCAGAATAGGTATAAGCAAATGCGAATCTACTCAAATTCACTCAAGTCGTTCCTTATGCATAATACTTCTAGAACAGCTATTCTTGCAAACATCTCAGATCGATCGAACTTTAAAGCATACGATATTAATATTTATCTTCGAGAGATGTATTGATTTAATTTCATAAAAACTGAAGTTTTCCCAATATATATGGTTGGTAAAATCTCACAATATAGTGTTTCATGAATACGTTATGGATAACGTATTAAAAAAACACTTTATTGCTGGATTTTCATCAAACAGTTTTACAAAAACGCAACACGTGTTCCTCCATACAATGACTTCTACGGCCGTGTCTTTACTAACTATATTCACTATATATCGCTCAATATACCTAATTTTACAATTTGAAGTACCTACATTTCAAATACCTGATGTGTATGTACATGAGTTTGTTATGAAGTAAATTACCTGAGCTNAATTATTTGGCACTACTTCAAAATGATGTCATCCCAAGTTTAGCAAATTTATATTCTGATCCGGGAAACCCACAAGTTCCAGTGAATACGATATGGTTTCAGCAGGAAGGAGCACCACCCATTACCAAGTTAATGTCCGGCTATACCTTGATACAACATTTCCCATTCGGTGGATAGGGAGGCAAGGATCGATTCCATGGCCAGCGCGATACCTGATCTTTCATCATTAGATTTCTTTTGTATGGGGATATGTAAAGAACAATGTGTACAAAACTGAACCTGTATATTTGAATGACTTGAAAGAACGAATAACGCTTGCGATTAGGTCGGTCACGCCTGATATATTGAATAATGTTAGATGAAAGTTTCATTTGGGATAAGGATGTTGCCAAGACTTTCGCGGTGAACATTTTGGACATCTACTTCGTTAACATCCATGGTTTTTTTCTTATTCTACATTTCACTACGTTTTGCAATACATAGTAGTTTATGAGTGTATTTTATCGAATTTCCGTAACCACATGATTTTAATTTATTCTATCTTAATTGCTGCAATAAATTCAAAAGCGATAACATTTTTGAATAGAGAATGAAGATATGTTTCAAACGATATATAAAAAACCTATATTTCCTATTCAAAATATTGGGGGTTGTACCTGTCATTCAAAGGGGGTTAAAGGTAAGGGTGGCATTTTTACGTTGAAGAATGTGTTTCGGGATTTTTTCAAAACATGTACAGTAACCGAAATAATGAATTCATTCCATTTGGCTTTTACACACTGTATATACGGTTAACTGATGAACTACAACACATGAGTATAAGTCCTGAATGATGAAATGATACACACACACAAGTGTATGTTTTCAACAGAAAAGAAAAGAAGCTGTGAACCTCATTCGAATATGGAATCCCATTCTATGATGTTCAAGAATAGCAAACAGCATGACGACAGGTAGAAAAGAGTCAACGAATGTTATTGACAATTCACCAAATCCAGGTACAAGAATTATCACACCAGACGACCTGATTCAACATAAACATGATTTATGTCAGTTACCTTAGCCAGGTACAGGTATTAGCACACCAAACTACCTGATGAGTCAACACAAATACGCGATACGCAGCCGTAATATCCAGTCATCGGAGAAAGCCGCGAAAGCCTTAATCATTTTGTTCAATGTTTCTCTCTCTCTTAGGAAACATAAGAATTACTAGAAACTCTTCAGAAAGCTGTGGATTTTTTTTCTGTATTCAATTGATATATTTTCATTCACTGCAGCCCATAAATATAAACTCCATTCTCAGCCATTCAATTATTTTGTGTTTATTATCGTTCGAGCGTAAGAATCTCACCTACTACATAACACCATTTCAATTCGTTGTGTATATTGAGCTATATTTCTTGTTGAATGGGGGTTATAAAAGTCGAGAGTCCGAGAACTTGGAAAGCTAATATTAGGTTTAAATGGAGAGAAAACACATCTGCTCCTGAAAAATCAGAAGGGTAATTGGCATCGTATATTAGTAAATTGAATAGAGTATTTGCTTCAGGTGGAGTACAGATCTAATTGCGTTTTTTATGTTAGCGGAAACAATGTTTTACAACTGTATCATCGCGAATGAAAATAATACATTTGTTTTCTTTTTAAATTATGGTATCAAGAATTATTAATTTTCTAACTAAATTCCTGGTGTGATTCCCAATTTGAACTTTTCTAATTATGAACTGAATATATATAGTTCTGCCTATATATATAGATGAGTTGGATATTAGAGATACACCTAAAGAAGCTATTGCATAAAACACGTGTTTCGGTCCGAAATGTTCATTTAAATTCAGTTGACAATGTTTCTTGTTGAATGGCTTTCGTCGACTTATTATGTCCGTATAAGATTGCTAGATAGTGAAGTATAATAAAATGCATTTAGCTATTCACCTCTATTTCAGTGGAGAATATCTGGAATAGCTGGTTGAGCGTCTCTTGGATATAATCAATATGATTCCAGTAGTAAAACATGATATTGAAGATTTGCATACAATGTACTCATCTTAAAATTATTTCATTTGATGACTGATTTATTCTTGGTACGAAGTGCTGATAATGACAACCTCTCAAGTCTTCTGCTAGCTAAAATTTGAATGCATTTCATCAGTTCGGACTTCTATAGTCTAATAAGATATCGATAGATTTGTTATTTCTGAAAAGATCTGTAAAAACTTAAAAACATTAGCTGAAAAATAACAATTATACCAAGCAAAAAAACTAAATCTACAATGAAATTTGAATCGAATCAAACCACAATTACAAATATCGCCTGCCATCTTGTTTTTTGCATCGACAAAATGATCATAATTTCTTACCATGAAAATCCATCCCCACATACTTATTTTGATTCGAATCGTACCGTACCCTGAAAACCACCACTTTTCTATTTTGGAACAAATCGGACCATAATTGCAAATCTTGTTCGACATTGTTTTTTGCCTTAAAAAACTTCTTTAATGCATTGTCACCATATTAATGTCAAATTAGCTTGTAAATGAAATATCATAATTTGGAACACGGAACAGTTTTTTTCCTGCAAGAGGGCGCCAAAATAGAAAGTTAGGTAGTGAAAATCGACATGATCCAATTCCTTATGAAATTGCCTTTTTAATGATGAGTCACACTTACTACTTTCCCTATTCAAATTGTTTGAGTGATAATGACCAAGGGGTGGGGGGAGAGTTATGACAGTAGAGGTTATGATAGAAAGATGTCTCCCTTGGATTACAAATCGACGTGTCTTTGCATTTTTCCGTTTTCTTTCTGTTTTCTTGATGGAATTGGTGATTAGAGAAGATTAGGTAATTTTTGTTTTTATTACACAGTGCATTTCTTGTCCCCCCCCGACACCTACTTCACTATCAATAGCTTCTTTAGGCGTGTTCATTACTAGCTTGATGTCTACACCATGCTCTTTGTATATAATAGTGATTTGAACCATATAGGTACTAATGAATTATACAGTGCTTTTCTTTAATGTCCCCCCTTTTATTTTTTGAACGGGTCAACTCAAAAACCTGAAATTTGGGATAATGAATTTAATGCATGAATACTTTATTTTGGAGTGAAATTGACAGATGAAACTTTCAAGATGGCGACTGGGCGCCATCTAGGGAAAAAAATCAAATGGAAAGGGGGTTCTTGTGAAATCAGTTTGAAGCTCCTGACAAATACTTCCTAGAATATGAAGTCAATATCTTCACCTACTACAAACTGGCGGAATATTTAATAATTTCCTGAAAACAAACACATTAATATCGATATTTCTAGAAATATTCCTTTAATCTCCCATATGACAATTCCAACAACCCGATAAGGTTTGTTGCTTTATTTTTTGATCTATTGAAACGATAAAAAAAAGATCATCATTGTTTAGTTAGAATATTCTCATTTAGTTTTTGGTTTCACTAGTAGAAAGGTATCACGTCAATAATCTCTAAAATGGTCAATTCTCGTCCATTTTGAAAAATATGCGATTTTTTGTTTTTCAGATTTGGCATTTGGACGATGCTTGAGACCAATCGGCGATGTCGAAGAGGACGATTTATACAGGTTTGTATTTCCAATACAACTTCAAAGTGTTTTATCGATTTATGGCTTGGACTTCTGGTTTATGTACGAAGTACATATTGTTTATATAAAGATAATAATGATGTAGCACAGTTTCTGTTGCTGTTGGTTTTCCTCATCAGAGTAGGTCGGTTCGAGAAAATATGTCTGGCGTTTGAATGATATATCTCAATTTCCCACCACCTCAGGTTTATTCTTGATAATTGTTTTCAGATGAATAACTAATATATATACGAGTATAAAAATGGCAAAATATATTGACATACGTTACAGTTGATTTTCCCTAAAGAAACGGTAGAGTCTGATTCAACGAACTCATAGAAAAATTTGTTAAAACAAGACTGAATGAAAACAAAATAACAAGGGATTGCCAGTTTGGTTTCCAAAATAAAAAAGAAACTTCCGATACCATACTTTCATTTCTATTCAATGTTCATTCCAACATAAATGACAAAGAAACAGTGGCTGCGGTCTTCTGTGATATGGCCAAAGCATTTGATTGCGTGAACCACAAAATTCTTTTAAGGAAACTCAGTAGATACGGTATAACTAGTTCGGTTTGACTCAAACTTAAACAAAGGTGTTCAAAACCACACCATACTTAAATGAAAATAAAATTACTTGCGGTTCGGTTCTGGGCCCACTTTTATTTTTGATTTACATTAACAACAAGATGGATTTACATTATTTGCTGATGATACCGAAATTTTATAACATGCCTCTAACAAACATACATTGTATGAAGTTATTGAGAGTAAAATAACGAAAGTGAAGGCTGGTTTG